GTTTAGGGGTTTAGGGTTTCCTGGTTGCCCCAGCTGCTTCCAGGCTGGTGCACTTCACGCGATGATGCTGCTCCAGCTGATTTCGGCCGATTTCCTGGCAGTGGTGTCGCAGCTGTACGTGTGGCTCGGCATTCCTAAACCTCAAAACCTTGAGGCCCCTAATCTGCTGAGGGCTTCAAGACTTTTTCGTGAACCTCTTTTTCGACAGCTTGTGGAAGGTGGTCCGTCTTGCTCAGCTCCTTCCTCCGCTTGGGAGACACCTGGGCAGTCAGGCGGGCGACTTGAGTAGAATGTCGTGCAGGCCGTAGAAAGAAAATCATAATTTCATAGCTGACTGCTTCAGTCACTAGCAGGTTGGTGTCGGAATCGTAGATATCTGGCCATGTACTCCTTATACCAACACTCAGGCATACATGTCTGAGTCCGCAGGAAGCTGTCTCATTATCACGCCAGAGGAAGCAAAAGACTGTGGCAAGCACAGAATAGCAAGCTTGTTTATGTAGAACCAAAACTTAGCCGGAGTCAGATTTATATTCCAGCCCGAAGGACAGACTTGCGCGCTTCGGCTTGTCTGTGCAGGTCGCCCCTGTTCTGTGTCTCAGTGGCCTCAGCAGTGGCGCTTCGCTTGCACACGCAGCGGCCGAGATGGCGGGGGCTGCTCTTGGGCTTTGCGTGGCTCGGCCGGGCGCCAATCGGCTCTTTGTGAGCTGCCTTCCGCCCGCTTCGAGGTCATGGTTTGCAGTCGCAGCTTTGCTCCGGCTGTCGCTGCCTTCATCCGAGGAGCTACAGGGTGAGGGCTCTGCACTCCGTGACATCCCAAAACTATCGGAAAGTCCACCATCAGAAAACTGACCCTGGCCCGAAAGGACGATGCGCACATCCAGAGTTTCCTTCTCTTCAGAGTCCAGGCTCGGACCGCCAGTTGCAGGTAATCGTATATTATACATATATATATATATGTACATATATATATATATGTGTATTATACAGTTACACACGCATACACAGACACTCGTGCAGGCATCCTTGCATGCATACATCCGTACATGCGTACACACACACACAC